ATCACTATAGCCCCTCAGCTAGAATGGCCAAAGATTCCTGAAACTCAGACACGGCTAAGAGTCTGTAAATAAGACTGTTTTTAAATATTCCTCGAAAGTTGACTTAGCTAAGATGCAAAGCTTTTGTGTGACATCTCAAAGATACACTCTACAAAGCAGGGAAAGTTTGTAAGTCCCCTCTCTGCTTCCCCAATTATTCTTGATGTGTCTGCCTGGCTGCCTCCTCATGCTTTAACTGAGAAGTGAGGCGATAAAGATGGAGATGGAAACAACATACTCCTGTAACCCTTTACCCTACATGCATGAGTGCACACGGTAACACACTTACTTACTAAACCCAGACGTAGAGATTTAAGACAAACACCCTTATACAGACGGACAGCAATCACATAAATATTCACATACACTTTCACACACTCGCTCTTACATTTGGCCTTGTGCTTTTCGTCTACATTTAGAGGCAGAGGAGAGGGGATAGGGTGCTGTATTTGAGCATGACTGCGCTGATGTGGTTTTGGCCTCACATGCATGAGTAAGACTGTACAGTACATGGCTTTGATACCCTACAGGCTTAGCAAAGGGTAACACACTGACACAGTTATCAGACCAGACTAATTGGGTCTGGGACTATGTGTGTGTGTTTGTGTGTGTAGATGTGTGTAGGAGAGCCTTGGTGCATGCATGTGTTGATGTATGTGTTACCCTTACGTGTATTTGCATCAAATCCTATAAACAATTGTCCTTCACCACCCTCTTACATTTGAACCTTCTTAAATGTAAATGTAAGAAATCAAGAGTGTGTGTTTGTACGTACGTCATGTGCTTGCTTGCTTGTATCATGTCCCTGCATGCTTCTGCCCTGACTGCATATGCCATAAACAACCTCATCTCTACTCCCTTACGTCTTCTCAAATTCATATATATCTCCTGCCAGAAAATGGTGTCATATATGATAGGGTTTTCTAAAGGAAGCTCTTGGCAGACGATCCGCACTCTTGCAACCGTCTGACCCACTTTCAGTCCTCACATCGCCACAGTTAAGATGCTCAGGGATGTTATGCATTGTACACAAACAAATAAATAACGGACACACAAACATTTAGCTGCAACGTTGCACAGCAGTCACAAGTGAATAGTACACTTTATCAAAACTGCAACACAGGCATATGTGTACTGTAGCTCCCATAAATGTTTCACCATTGCAAATAATCCAGTATACAATTTAAAAAAAAGACAATCCTATCATTAATTCAGTCTAAATTAGTCGGTCTGGGAGCCTAAATTTAATGAGTAAATTAAAGTGCTGCGGCAAAAAACTCATCTGTACTTACGCCTATAATCCATCCTATTTCATATCAGCCGTAAGCAGGGGAGCAGAGATAAAGACTGCATCTAAATATATCTGACTGGCTCTAAGTGAGTCTGACTGTTTCTCAGTGTTTTCCAAACTGGTAGTCATGCTCTTGTGTCATACGCCGTGAGTGATGATAAGAGGTGGAAGTAGGAATATGCATTGATTGATATAAGAATGGAGGGAGGAAACTAAATAAAAGTGAAAAATGAGGCCAAGGAGGGAAGGAAGGAGCAGTAACAAATAAAGGAATCAACAATAGAAAGCCACAGGGACTGAAGAAAGAGATGGGATGAGGAGATGAATGAAAGGGTGGAAGGAACAAAAGAGCATGCATGTGACAGGGAGAGATGTGCATAAGGAATGAAGGTGGAAAAGCTCAAATTGGAATGAAGGAAAAAGAGAATTTGAGAGGTGACACAATGGGAAACAAGAGAGAGAGATGACTAACATTGATGAAAGGAAGCTAAAACAGATAAATGAATTGTGGAGATAAAAAGGACCAATGTAAAGTGACTTAATGGGCAAAAGACAGAAAAGAATCCAGCTGTCAATCCACTGTCTCTCCCAGTTCAGCTTATAAATGGATCACTGGCTTCACCACAATACTCGCTGACCTGCATAACAGATACCAATTAACGCAGTGTCACATCTGATCTCCACTGGATCCAACACCAGAAGAGACAGGGGAGGGGGGGGGGGGGGCATAGTGATGGCATGTATGAGAGACAGACAGACAGACAGACAGACAGACAGACAGACAGACAGATACTGAGAAACAGAGAAGAAGAAATAGGATACACAGGTCCAGTACCATGAGCCAAATGTGTGTGTGTTTGTGTCTGTGTGAGTGTGTGTGTGTGTAACTAATGATGCCACTTTATAATGAGGCCAACACATCCATTCACACTCACACATTTCCATTGCATGACCCTAATTATTCCCCTGTGGATTTGCAGCTTCAGACTGATGTTCATTTGTGTGCATATTCAAAAGAGCCGGCAGATTAAGAGAACGGTATTTAAAAACGTTTTCAGACAGAGACCAAGCGCTCGTCTTTCATTATTCATGTCTGTTTCAGTGGCGGTATTCTGCCGCCATGGAGAGAGGCACAAAGAGAAGTAAAAAATGACACAGGAGGGAGGAATGAAGAGAGGAAGAATGACAAAATGTAGCAAATGAGATAGACACCACGTTAAAGGGTTGGATAGAAACATTATCTTTTGATGTAGTCGAGTGAAACAGCTCATTACAAACCAGAGCAACACAAGAAAAGTGCAACAGTCCTCCCACTCACACACCCACGTGCACAGGCACAACAGCACATTACTGCTGAGGAAACAAAACAATACAGTAGCCCACAGATGCACTATTGACCTTTTTAAAGCATAGAGTGAGAGACACAAACTGATAGACGAAAAAGCAAAAAGAGAAAACATTTTGGCATTTTTCTGGCCCTGTGCACTGAGGGTATTCCAGGATGGAGGAAACTCTTTGTACTCCTCCCTTCCTCCAGGCCTCAATCTGCCTTTCAGCTCCCTCCTTCAATACTTTAGTCTCTGCCTCACTCTCCCTTATCCATTCACTTTCTCAACACCCCTCCCCTGCTGTGGATTTACACCCGCCTCCTCCAAATTCCACTCAAGTTATTTTCGTTCTGGGTTATTTTTTTATTCCGCCGATGTTTATTCATGACCGAGGTTCTGAGAGATAAAAAGCCAAGTGCTGAGCTGGCCCCGAGGGCTGTGAGGGCTCCAAGTCAGTCTGCAAATGCACATACACACTACTGGAACACACAGGCGAATGTTTGCAAAAAGACACACACACATGCTAACCTTCCTGCAAACAAACACATGTGTTCAGCTTTTCCTCACATACAAACTGAGGTGTTTTGCCTGTCACTATCATTTTCAGAATAAGACTCAGCCGGCTGCCTCTCTTTGCTGTTTCTGTTTGTCAAGGATAAAATTATTGTCTTTTTGAGATGCCTGTACCAAAATATGCCTGACCCTCATCTGTCAGCAGTGTTTATCATGATGTCATGACACACACGCACATGAAGAAGGGAGCCTGCGTTTCTCTTCCAAACCCACCCCCTCCTAAGTGTAGTTTTATTTGTCTGTTGTCTACTTAGGGATTCTGTGTATGCAAACGTGCGCGAGTGTGTAGACGGATTTGCAGTTCAAATGGCCAGAGGGAAAGAGAGATGAGAGACGTGATGTGCAGAAAGTGAGCAAGAGACACGGAGAGAATGAGGCGCTTGTCTCTCAGAGTGGATTTAAATCCTTTTCTCCATCACCAGTTCCCAAATCTGCTCAGCTACTTTCCTATTTACACACATGCCAGTCTGATCGCTTTGTGTCCCTTTTCTGCAAATGTTCCATATTTCCACATTCCTAGATAGGAAAGCTTGTGTTTGGCATTGGGGTTGCCTGCACATTTAATTATTGAAACTCCCTAAGAAAGAGTAGAATGACTTTAGGTTAAAGGACTGAACCTAGAACCCTAAACCTATTGGTTTACTTTTCTCTACAGTGTCAACGATGTATCTAACGTCCATGCCCCATGTTAATAGATAAGACTACATTGATTTCTAATAACCCGGCATGCATTGATTTAATTTAATTAAGTAGCATTTGATCTGATCTGAAAATCTGATGACGCAAATGTAAATGTTAAACTCTTACTAAATAACACCTCCGAGTGTTTATGTGCCTGTCTACTAAATACATTTGCAATATTTGCAGAAAAAAACTAATCAACCGCACGCATGAGATTAAGTGTTTTATTTGTATGACATAAAACCCTCTCATAATAACTATTAAAAGACTATGTTGATGTAATGTTAGTTTTTCTCCCTATAGGGCTGTTAGGGATATCTAACAGTTAGCAGGCTAATACAACAGTCCTGAAGGAAATCCTCCCTACATAAAGATTAAAATGTCCCATGACACATGTCTTTGTTAACATGAAAAGAAAATCCTCATGGATGTTGAAAAAAAACGACTTCTTAGTTTAACCATCACTTATGCATAAGCAGATTTAAATAATACGATGGGACATGTCTAGAACACGAGCACCCCCTGCTGGGGTCTGGGTGCAGGTGCACCATATTATGGTTTATCTGAGGGTGCAGATGTGACAGAATAATTTGGGTCAGACAATAATAGACGATACCAAAATAGTAAAATCATTTATTTTTGTGCTGTGATTCATTTTGTGTACTTCTGCAGGGAATAAAGATTCTAACTGAAAAATCACTGCTTCAGGCTGTGATCCATTCAGAGCCTGAGGTTATTTATGTAAAAATAATGGCACCACATATTTAGAGGTCTTGACATTGAGCCGCTCCACCACTAGATGGAGAAGTGGGGCAGAAACACTGAACGGATTGTCCTTTTTCCCTCTGGCAGGAGGACTGGATTTGATCCCAATTTGGGTCTGTAAGAACATTTCTTCTCTTCTGCAGCCCTGAAGCAGACAGCCCGGTTCCTTGGACGTCATATGATAAGGCTGGGGGAGAGCCGGCTGGGCCCCCGTTTGGAGAGGAGGACCCATATCTCAGTCAACGCACACACTCTGGGCCCCCTTTATCTCCACAAGGCAGGGAGGCGTATCCTTTCCCCCCTCTCTCTCCCACTCCCCTTCACATAACACTCTCTCCCTCTCACACACATGCACTAGACTACAACCTGCTTCAGACGACGCCCCACCGCCCCTGAGATTTCCACTGAGGGCACAGCCAGGTCCGTCGTGCGTCTTTTTCGCTCGAGAGGAAGCCATTGGGCTCTTATTATTGTCGGACTGCGCGCTCAGGCTGCCCACGGCATCACCTTGGCAATAACAGGAGGGGTGCCAACCAGAAGAAGAAGAAGAAGAGGAGGCGGAGGAGGAGGAGGAGAGGAAGGGGTGGTACAGTACTCCGAATTGACGCTCAGAAATAAACAAGAAGAGCCCCTGTTTGGAAGACGTCCGTGGCGGGAAGGCATCTGCATCTGAGTAAGTCGTGATTTACAGTGTGTGTGACCTGCTTTTGGTGCTTTATCCATCGGCTGGTTGTGCAACGGCGCAATATTTAAGCTTCCAGCCCGGCAGCATCCTTTTAACTGATGACTGAGAGGCTCAGGGACAAGGACACAATACAAAAATAAGGGCGATATTGTGAAATCCTTTACTGTAAACACATTAATATTTACGGTTACAACTCACAAGAGGCGCAGCATCCTCCAAATGGACATGAATGCAAATTAGAAAAGCTTACAATCAAATCACGCGCTGTTTTGGTGGTGAAAAATAGGGAAAAAAAGAGCTGCACGATCATGTCATGTCAACAGGCTTTATGGTAATGTCAGAGGCCCACTATATACTGTACTACTTTGAAGCCATGATACAGCCGGACGACAGGTGTAACGGGGCGATATGTTTACGCGGAATGCTTTTGATGATACATTATGTAACATCGATCTGTTTGGAGAGGAGAGTGCTTCAGGATGTTTTTATCTCGACGGTGTATTTCCAGTGCTCTGCCATCACTGCATGGTGAAGGGATGCTGTCAGGCTGCAGGCTGTGGAGGGGAGGACAGTTCCAGGGTAGCATATTCTCTGCTGTGTTGTGATGTGAGCAGTCTGCTCCAACATGGCGCGCATGAGCTGAAAAACCCTTGTCCATGACATACTCCTGTCTGGAATTTACACTGTGCAGTGGATCAGGGAGGCAGTGGGGTTTTATGAGAGCAGAGAATGGGTCTGTGCATCCCTAAATGGCTCAGCTCAGATGGATTTCAGCTCAGGTTGCCACTGGTGATGAAATCTGGCTCTTATCACGTAGGCTTTCTGTTTCTATTCCAGTCTCTGAATAGAACAATATCAGCTGGACCAACTCCTTGGCGTAACTCTGTTTTTGTAATCATGTTTGATCACAGCAGGTGACACCGGACAAAGAGTGTGTTTTTGTTTGGGTTTGTGTCTATTGTTTCTCTGCTGGGTTTCTGCCCTACATACGTCACTGTTGTGGATCTTTGTTGACAAGACCACACATTTCAAGATGATAGCATTGTTTGTTAACATAACACACCCATTGCATTTCTGAGATAAAAAAATGTGTCTTCGAAGTTTAAACAGGACATGGACTCTTTGTATTATTCATCTTGATAGCTACAGTCACACCTGTTACAGCTTTTCCTGAAGCAAGTCATCTCAAGTCCTAAAGGCATGTTTTTGCAAGGTCAAGAAAGGTGCGAGTAATGATTTGTTATGTTTTGGTGTGATGATCAGATCAAAAGGTGTTCAGCACTGGCAACTTGTTGGGCTCTCTGTTGCCTGTTTATTTACTGTCTCACAGGCACAACTATGTTTATTTTATCTAGCATAAATGCACAAGGTAGGACCCAACTTCTGAGTCATTTAACAAAACACTTTATAGCACCCTTTTCAGGAATCAGTCTATAAAAAAAGTTATAGAAATCTCAGCTTTCTACGGATCACAACCTCCACTTATTAGTCTTCACTGTCCAACATTTGGAAAACGTCTCCTTCTGACCTCTGATCCAAAAATTAAATCATCAAAGGAAAAATACTCGTCATACAATTAAGAATCACAATGAAATATTTAATTTGTGTGATTTAAGAACACCGATAAAGACTACATTGCATGGTGCACGGCCAACCAACTAGATTGAATAGCAATAGCAGCACATCTCTGCGCACTGTTTGTTGTGTGTTTGTTATTTTTATTGTATGAGCGAGGCATGTTTTATCCACCATAGGCCTCAGCCCTGCGGTGTGTGTCTATATCCGGTCTGCTGCTCTGTGTTGTGTCAGCGACTGGCAGTCGAGCTGACAGCCCTTGTCTTGTCCACCCAATCCTCATGCAGCATTATGACTCTGGACAGCCACATTTTTGATTGTCAGGTTTTGTGTGCCTATATGTTTTTGTGTGTTTGCCTCTGTGCGGCTCTGTGTGTGCGTTTTAGTCTTTGCATGGAGGCCAGAAAAAAAGATGGATGCCGTGTTTATGTGTGTTGATGGCTGTCTCCTGACCTGGCAGGCTGGACACTGGGATGGATCAGTTTTCACCAATTTAGATTGGGGGAATGGGCTGGTAGCCGGAAGGTCATTCATCCTACTGTTGGACTGTCAATAGAAAATGAGGCAAAACATGAACGAGTCACACTCTGTTCTACCAACCAACTACAGTCAAAGTTGCCCTTTAGTGAGCTCAACCCGACAGTAGTTCTCAGTGAGCAGGAGAAAACTGGTCACATTGAGCCGCTCCTTGGAGTGTAAATGTGAAACTGTAGCCAAAAAGAGCACACTCACTATCTTCCCTGATAAACACAGTTTGTACGCCTTACTTATGACACTGCAGTTGTGTCGCTATCTAATGCTAAAACAACCCCATTCTCCCTCACAGGAGGTCACACTTATTTGTAGCCAGACCTCATTGTGGCTTTAATCAATGCTTTTACAGTAACAATGGATCTAATTACTACTAAGTACCTTGTATTGACAACTCACAGATCATTAGCACCCAACTCTGCAGTTCCCCTCGGCTCGACAGAGCATTTCACTTTCAGCCTACTGTTGAGATTTTTCCAGCGCTCAACTTTACTGTTATGGTATAGTCTCAAAGGGGAGAAACTCCCATATGCCCATCCCCAAACAGCAAAACAGACAAGGTTAGTGAATAGCTGGTGAACATAGTGGCTTAGACTTAAGTATTTTCCCTTTAGGAGTTAGTGCGGACCAAAACGGAAATAAAAGAATACAGAATTGTTGAATCAGGTCAGAAACCCATTTCCTTAAGGCCAATGGGGCTCCATATTTGCTGGATGTTTAAAAAAGCAACAGTTTGCAAACAAATTCATCATCATATCAACTTACAGTAGAAGGTGAAAGTCTGTCATTGTTGTGTTTACAGCTTGTTCTCACTGCCAACACTGCAGGTGAATAAAAATGCCGGGAAGTTAAAGGTAACCATAAGTGATTTTGCTTTTAACTGAGCACTATCGCCGCTAATGGAGAACTGCAATTTTCTTGCATTTGTGGAAGTGGAAGAGCTTGTTGGATCAAGAAAAAAAGTGTCATCCTGCCCTGGGCGAGTAACCCTAGAGTGATAGATATTGCTAATCATCCTTAATGACCTTGCTGTCATTAAGGATAATGTCATTTTTGAAGTGGTTATAAAATCACATCAGTATAGTAGGCGAGGAAAATGAATGTCATGTCTAGAGAAGCCATTATAGTTACTGTGTTATGGAAATATGGTGTTGTAGGGACAGAGAGGAAGTGGAAGTGAAAGCTTACTCAGCAGGCGCACAGATAAGGAGTAGAAACATCTGGGCGGATAGTAAAGATGTGAGATATTTTTGATAATGTGATGCAATCCACCTTGCCCTTTCAGCCTCACACTTTTTCTTGTCTTTCTATGAATCTGTGTCTCCTCTTTTACTCTTGGATAGTCACTTTTTCTTCACACTATCTTTCATTATAGCCCCTCTCCTTGCTGCTTTGTCATGACAGATAAGGCAAGGGAGGATTTGTTTTTTGTCTCTCTCTTCCCAGCAGACAGTCTGTCTTCTTATAAACTGTCATTTTTAGCCTCCAAGTCATTTTAATCTCAGAGGAAAAAGAGCTCAGCGGTGTGTGTATTTTAATGTGTGTGTGTGTCTGCGTGTGTGCATGTGTTTTGCTCCCCTCCTGTAACACACGCACATCCTCTCATATGACGATCATCAGTGTTGTTGCAAAGATTATATCAAAAGCACTATTGATAACTGCATTGTCGATGAACTTGAAACACACACATACTCACACACACACTCACATCTGGTTTAAGAGCAAGGAACAGAATGAATAGTAGGTCTTGTGCCCTCATAAATGAAGCATAGTATTTTTTATTGGACAGGGGGATATTGGACAGGGGGATATTGGACTAACATACTTTGCATAAACAATTCCTAAGTCTCTCGAGGGCCTTAAGTGGGAATGGGATCTTGCCATAAGGGAAGGCTTCCATTTGGCCTAATGGTTCCTGTGTTAACATTGAGAGGCTGCTCCAATAATGCAAGGCCATATAGACTTCCTATATCCGGGTATATAGAGTATGCTGATTGACCACAGAGGAGACACTCCACTATAGAATTGAAAATAAATGCTGTCAGCAGGTCAGTGCATTGTTTGTGGAAAAATGCAGACTAAGGAAAAGGCCAACATTTAAAACCACCATCAGCTGATTGATTTTTAATGTGCTGTCGGGACATTCGGTACTCATACAAGAATTTGTATTGCCATGCCTATACATACTCTTGAATTAAATCATGTGAGAATACTCATACAAGGGACACATTGTCACAATGTTGCTTCAGTTTGTTTTGCTTATTCTGCCCTTGTGAAACTCCTCTTAGCAACATGTTCCCATCCCAGGGTCATTTCACTGACTTTGCTCCACTTGTCCACCACATGCCATCAAAATGTCCCACCTGTCTCTGTGACTTCACTCCACCACCCAGCCCTTTTCCTGCCACTCCCATCACCTGACCTTCCCCATCCAATTGCTCACCTATTCCCAATGTCCTTCCTAAGTCTTGCATATCCACCCACATTTAGCCAGATTGTCTAGTTTGCGTCCACCCATAGTTTTACATAGCTTTTTTCTGCCGTCCTGATCTGTTTAGAGATGATTCTCGCCACACCCTGTTCGACGAGTTTGCCTGCCTTGAAGGTTTTCACCCGTTCCCGTCTTTGATTCAAGTAAAATTTCACTTTTATCTCCACCTGTGTGCCGTGCTTTTGGGTTAAAGCCTGCTGTTATTTGAGAGCCGTTACACCCAGTTGCTTTATTGTGTAGCTGTGTCGTGAGAAGCATCAGTGGAGATTGACCCTTTTTCTTGAGCACATCCAAGCCCTTTATATCTCATGATTCTAAATTGTTGAGCTCTCCTGGGAAATAATCCGTATCTATAATCTCAGCCTTTTGTTTGTTCTCTTTTAGCAACTTT